CTGCTTGCTGATTTGAAACGAGGCTGCACCTAAATTCCCAGATACATTATTAACAAACAGCAGGCTAGTTCTTCACTTGCAACGCACAGAACCACTGTTCACTGCTCCATGGTGGACCCTAGAAACCCTCTGTCCTGGCTCAGCGGATGCTCATTCTCCTCCTTCACTGTCTCTCATACCACAGAGCCTGTAAAACACAGCCCCATCCTCTGCATTTGCAACCAAGCTACCCCTTGACCCTCATGCTTTAGCTTTTCATGCAGCCTAGCCCTGTCATGCAATAACTAGGGAAAATACAGCTTTCCAGCTTCATTTATAATTGGCACAGGGCCTGGAGAATGATTGCCTGATACAGCCATTGGCTTGGGACCATCTAAAGGACAAAAGCCCTTTTGATACCATTAATGCTTTCCAGCCTGACAACGCTGTTCAATTACTGGCTGCCTGGCTGGGGTCCATCAGCTGGCATTGTGCTTTGACTACGGTGTTAGGCTTGAGCAGACAACATGTGCCCCCCACAAAAAGGAAAGCCCGTGTTTCAGAAGTGGGCTCTGACTTTAACTATACCTCCAAGAGAAAAGGAAAGAGCTGGGCAGGCTGCATTGCTACTTGCTGGGCTGTGATAGAGATTATGCCTGTCCACTTACTCCTTGGCCAGGCTGGGGGTCCTGAGAAGAAGGAATGGTGCCTGTCATTTTCCTTTGCTCCTGGTTGATCAGTATGGTCAAGCCTCAGTTTCCCCAAAGCCAGAAGTGAGCTCTGGGAAGACACAGGTGGAAGAACACAGAGCCGGGAAATTCTTTCCTTCCCCTCTGTTTTTTAATTCTCAGGAAGTTTCTAGAAACTGCAGTGACATTCATCCTCTCTCCCCACCCTTCTCCCATTCACCAAAAAGCCTGCAAGCGCTCCATGAACCTTTTGTCTGCTATTTGCCAACTGGGGCTTGTACAACCCCAGGGGAGAAGGTGTCTTCCTTCTCCTGGGGGCTGCTAAAAGGCTGCACCTCTCAGCATGGCTGCCGAGACTGTCAGTTTTTAATTCCTGCCCTTGTAAAATGACACAAATCAAGTACCACCGAGGATCATATATTGATCTCGTGTCAGCACTGATGGCTGCTGCACTGATCATATCAAGATATTATACTTTGCCACTGAACTCCCTCTAAATTTATAGCAGAAATTACAAGACCAGCTCAGTGTCAATACATGCTATTTGAAATATGACACTAAAATTCCTGGTATTTTCATTAACACTGCTAGTTTATGCTGGCATATGTAGAAATCACGTAGGCAACAAACTCAAGAAGACACAAGCACTAAAGAGAAGCTCTCTGAGGCTTGGTCAGGTCCTCAGTAGTTCTTCCCAAACACTCTTTAACAAAGTTAATCTTCATAGCTTACTGTGGTGCAAGAGGGACATGTTTGGTTAGACTGTGATCTTACATGTACTGCAAGTAACGTTCCTGCCCAGGCAGCCTTTGGAATTGAGTAAGGAGAGCTAGTTGAAAAATTTCCATCAAAATATACCAACCTAAACCACATTTTGGTGGCATTTTTTGGACTTCCACCGACTGCCAGCAACACAGAGACAGGTTTTGCTCACCAGGTTGGAAGTTGAGATTTTGCCCTGCAGGTTCCTGGGGAGCTACAGGGCATGGAGGCACTGGTTATGGCTGGAGTAGTGGAAACCCATATGCTAACTCAGTGCTCACAGTCTCTCTGCTGTGGGAAACTTCAGGGAAAAGGGGGGGAAAAATGATGTCTTCTTTCTGAAAAAAATACAATAAAAATCTTCCAAGCCCTGCATCATCAAAGTGTTCTGACCTTCCAAAATGAAACATTTTCAGAAGTTAATTTCTAGAGAACTGAAAGTTCTCCTCTCAGTGAAATATTTTTTACATACCATAAATTCCTATGGGCTAGAAATTCAGAGTTTCAGTCAGGTCTACTACCTTGTTCGCTTCACCTTTTAGTTTATGAGATTCTGTGATTCTTTCCTGTCTTTCTTGAATGGCATCTTCAAGATCTGTACCCTGCACAAACTCACGCTTGGAATCTATCAGCCAGATGAAAGTCTCTCATACCAGGAGTCTGACTACTTGAATTAGTTTTGTTTTTACTCTAACCCAGAAACCAATAGGATATTACCACTACTAAAATGACGCAAATAAGAATTTCCCCAGTCATACAGCAGTGGATGCTATGCCAGGTCCTTGCCTAGTAAGGGATGACACAAAATCATCTTTCTTTTAAAAGGTCTATTTTCTAGTTTTAGAAAATGAGGTCATTTCTAGAAGAAAGCTAAATCTATTTATTTATTATAATAAAAGTAATTAAAATTTTACACATGATTTATCTCTACGAATAAATGATAACTCTATTACTCTGATTTCCTTCTAAAGACCCTTCACCACTTCTCAGACAATTTCTAGGCTTCACACCGACAGGTGGATCAGTAACTCGTTCCTGTCAGTGGGAATAACCACCTTTGAACGCAGCGCTGCCTTCTGGGGGACAACCCCCCTACAAACACCAGGACCCCCGCAAGGCGGGACCCGCGCCCCCCGGGTTGCAGCTCGGCAGACCTTTCTTTCCCAGCGCAGCCGTCCCGCGCCGCGGGGAGCGGTGTTTTCCACCGGAGAGCAGGCAGGCGCTGCCCCGCAGCAGCCCGGCAGGCAGAATTCCCGCCGTGCCCGCAGCGCTCACCACGCACCGACGTGCTCCAGGCTTCCTAGTTCTGGTTCTGCGCTCCGAGGAGCCGGTTGGTTGAACTCCTTTTGTGCTGGCTTAGCCCTATTCATTTTAATGAAGTCACTTTTTGTCCTTAGTAAAGAATGAGACCTTTACATCCCAACCTCTGCAATGCCCTGGAGGACACTGAAACACGGATTCCTCCCTATCCTTCTCCCTTTGCATCCCTTCCTCTGCCTCACAAGAACTTACTTCTTTGGAGGATATTTCAAGTCTCCCTTTTCTCTGCTTTCCCTGCCATTTTTTTTTTTTTTTCTTCTTCTTTCAGCTTTTAATCCAGTTTTCTTCCCTTCTTTCTCTCATCTCTGGCAGCCTTAGGACTCCCTCTCTCCTTGAGGAGGGTTTGGAGCTCTTCAGGTTTTCAGATTTTAAGGCCAGCAAGCACTGTGGTGATCTAGTCTGGACCATGAAACTTCCTTCAATTAATTGCTTGAATTACTGAACATCTTCCATAAACAAAACAGGCTTATATTTATCTCCTCTTGGCATCCTATCACTGTGCTACATCGTTGGTAGCTATGTGAAGAAGCCTTCTTTCTGCAACTTCCTTTTTCCCAAGTTGGCACTTTCCTAAATTGTGATCATCCATCAGCTTCTCCATTTCATTCACTTGCACCTCTCCCTCTAAATTTCTTAGTATCCTCTTAGAGTGATTTATTGACCTCAGCACTTCAAATATCTCTCACAAGTCCACACTCCTGAGCTTTTAAGCTTTTACAAAGTGCCATGTGTGACTGCCAGGTCAATTTTTCTCCTCAGCTTTCAGAAGTTTTTCTAATCTGGGACCTTCCCCTGTGAAAGGCATATTCACTAAAATTGCTAATAAATGGTTAGGTTGTACTCTTCATCCAGATTCTGTTTGCTCACATTGGCCAGACCCACATCCTGTGGGTCGTGATCCCTTTCCTAAGGCACTCACAGCCACAATGAGTGCAGATCAGAGCTCTTTTTCTCCATGCTCCTAAAAGTTATTATTTTTCTACCTCACCAATGTAGATGAAATATATTTTTGAGGCTTTATCATCCCTTGTCTTTGTGAAACTCTTTCTTTCTGTTTTTTTACCCATCTACCTCGCTTATATCTCATATTAATTTAAATATAACTGCTTATTGAGATGGAAGCACAGAAGCAGACAACCACTAGAGTGTTACAAGCCCAGGAACTACACTTTAAATATTTGCAGGTAACCGAACCAAAATTAACATGTTTTTATGACACAATGGCAAGGGATGGGGAGCCGAAAAGCTCCTTGGGCATTGCAATTCCTTTTGGAAACTAAGAGGAATACATAGCCCAGGCGGGGGTTGGAATTTCTGAGATTATGATAAAGATCACTTTGCAAAATCCATTAAGGTCAGCAATCAGTCACAAAGTATTTCTACACCCTGCTTTGCCTTAGGAAAAGTAAGGAGCCCTCAGAAAAATGTTCAGAAACTGGAAAACAGAAACATCAATTTTATTCTGTATTTTTCTTTCCACTGATAAAATACCTGTTCGTGTGACCACGTCCGCTCTGAGCCATCCTTCACACAGATGTCCAGCCTCAGCTCAGTCCCTGTGGCTCCATGTTTACTGTCCACACAGAGGCTGGCTGCCACATTTCGAATCTGCAAAACCGAGCAGCAACATTTCATGTCAAACCATGCTGCAGAACAGAGCTTCCAACATTAGGGGGTCAGGGGTTCAGCTTCCTTAGCAACTGAAGGGCTTGAGACTGACCATTAGTTACATAAAACTGGTGGAACTTACTTTTTACAGGGCAGAGAGCCATGTCCTGGAATGAACTGTTCTATTTGTGAACAAGCTTTAGAAGCAGCAAAGTTTGAAATAGTCAGCTCAACAAAAGAAAGGTAGGTCTGTTGTGAAATATTTTCATGCAAAGAAACTATGAGGAAAAAAAGTCCGAGAAGTTCAAAACTTGGTCTGTTTCTTCTCTCCTACCAGAGCAAGAGACATCAACTGTGTTAAGAGGAAATTATTTCCGTATGAGTCTCTCTCAGGCTTTGGATCAATATGTCTTGAAAATTCAGGCACACCCTGTTCCAATGCTTGTTCTTTGACACAGTAACACCATTGCAGAGAAGGTCACACACTAGGGCTCAAAGTGCATAAATTTAAAAAGTACTTAACAAATTTGTAGTGTAACTGTGCTTACCCATGGAGGTTTCTTGTGCTGTCTGCATACTTTCTGCAAACATTCCACAGTGTAACAACTTCTTAAAATGAAAACCTTATTTTTGAGACTGAAGTAACTAAGCAGTAATTAATCTGTAGCTATCAGTCGTACCAGATACGTCCCACTGCTGCTATGGATATTTTTCTGGATTACTAGATTGAAAAGGTGCACATTGCTCACTGCCCCCATAAAGAGGAAAATCCCAAATATATTTTTCAAATAGATGCACATTTCTCCTTGAATACCTTAGTTGGGCTACTTAAAAATCCTCTAGACACCTCCAGAATGCAAGAATTTCTTAAAAGACATTCCCTGACAATGACGTACACAGAAACTGAGTAATCAAAGTTCTCTTACATACATGGAGCTGTGCACAAATTCTCTCTATATAATTTATAGGAAGCAGGTGCACATTTTGACATTCTGGCCCCTACTTTGATCCTTACGTAAAAAAAATAAAAGAAAAGCTAGATGCCAAATGGAGAGACAATCGAGTGGACATTTGTATTTTTTCCATGGAAAATATTTTTCAAGTTACTCTTGTTGCTCCATTACATTAGACAAATGTAAACACTGCCCCTCCAATACTGCACACCTCATGCACAAAACCAAAGGATGGAAAACTCAGCATACCACAAAACACTGCAAGGAGGGGGCAATCCCCATGCTTCTAAGAAACATGGGAGAGCCACTCAGCTCTTTTTCTCATTCTGGAGGATTGGAACTGAGTCTATTCACCATGTTCTAAGAAAGATTTTGACAGATAGGAAAGCAACAGGAACCAGAGCAAATATAAAAACCATCACCTTCAGGAAAGGTTTTAGGAGCTGCGTTTGTTTAGTCAAGAAAAGAATAGAACAGGCAAATGATGAGGGCATTAGTTTGAGTGATGGGCTCCAACAGCCTCTGAGCCTTCACTGGTGCTTAGAGAAGTCTTGGACAAGCCCAGTTCTAGGGTGTTTTTTTGTATTTCAATACAATAAATATTGCTATAGATTAGTGCTATAAGACACTAGCATTTCATACGCACAACTAGATGCAGAACCCCAGCTCTGAGCCCCACAGGACAAAGGGTCACATTAGCTGAAAAAAAAAAAAAAAGGATGAAAGGTAATTAGTTCTCAAAAACCCTGCCTTCATCTTTGTATTACCCAGCAAAAGAGACAGGAAAGAATAATGAGGGAAGTAGATTTTAATTTGGTATTTTTAAAGCTTCATGTGAAATACCTACTCGACGTATAATTTTTTTGAGAGTTTTCAATCATTTCTCAGTGCACTTAAATTTCCATTGTATAAGTAAAGATTACTGGCCTACTGCAAAATTAAATGATACATCACTTCTCTTCTTAGAGAATGTGAGCTAATTAAAATGGAGCTGCTAACCATTGCTATTAATAATTGGGGTATATTTATGTGATTGATAATTGTAAAATGACAGTGAATACACTCTCAGTCCAATGAATGCTTATTAGATTTAAGCATTTTCATAATTCTGTGTTGATGGCATCGCTCCATTCTGTTCTCAGTCATTTGAACCATGCTATAAATTAGTTCTATGCATTTCAGGGAAAGTCTTGAGCTGAAGCTGCATTCAGTTCTTTCCCTGCTGGAACCTGTCTCCCCTGCTCTTTATTTCTTCTCCTTTTCTGTCTGCTCCCAAAAGGTTTTCCTGAGGTGTTTTTTTCTCTGGTTTGTTGCAGTTCACATGTTAGCTCATCCTTTTTTTTTTTTTTTCTTTTTTCTTTTTATCCTTCCTTTCATTGCAGAGCAGTCATCGTTTGTTTTTCATTTTCTTTTTGTAATACAGGCATTTCAGTCAAGCCCGTGCTTTTGTTTTCTGGTGTTTCTGTGTGGCCTTGGCAGTTGCTAGAAACTGAACTGAGCCATCGTGCTGCTGCCAGAACCCCAGGGAATGTTCTGCTGAGCCACACGGCCTGCAAATCCCCTAAGATGCTCATATGGAACAAGGAAGGAAAGCAGAAGCACAGCAAAGAGAGGCTTTTTTTCTAGTCTATACATCAATATCATAGAATGATAGAATGGTTTGGGTTGGAAGGGACCTTAAAGATCATCTAGTTCCAACCCCCCTGCATGGCAGAGACACCTCCCATTACATCAGGTTGCCCAAAGCCGTATTCAACTTGGCCTTGAACACTTCCAGGGAGGTGGCATGCACAACTTCCCCAGGCAACCTTATTTCTGCCTAATATTTAAATATCTAATTTAATCTAAAATCTCCTTCAGCTTAAAACCATTACCTTTTGTCATACTGCTACATGCCCTTGTAAAAAGCCCCTCCCCAGCTTTCCTGTAGCCCCTGCAGGTACTTGAAGGCCTCCATAAGGACTCTCCAGAGCCTTCTATTTTCCAAGGGGAACAACTGCAGCCCTTTCAGCCTGTCTTCATAGGAGAGGTGCTCCAGGCCTCTGATCATCATCGAGGCCCTCTTCTGGACTAGCCCGAATATGCATTTGAACTTCCTTGTTACTGCCTAAGGTTATGAGTTACAACTGGCAAAGAAATATCTAATACTCTTAATACACTCACATTTCCAACATTCATGTTTGTGCAATTACAGAGACTGGGGATAAACAGGATACAGATTTGATCACCCATGCAGGTAGGGTTGAGTTGCTACATAGGATATTCATTTGCTCAACTGTACATGCTGTCACTTGCACAGACAGATAAGAGTATGCCACAAGCATGCATTCACCGAGTCTGTATGGACTAACAAGGATGGTTAGCAGTGATCTTCAAGGCTTGTTTGGAAGTAAAGAAATTCTAAAAAAAGCATGGGACACTACAGGTAAGTCATTATGCTTATTTAATTCTTGAAATGCCATCCTAACAGAAGTTGGGAGATAGAGACTAACATTATGGGCTGTGCAGTCCTTACAGAGAGCAGCTGAGGCTTAAAAGCACAGAGAATACAAGCTCTAAGGGGTCTGTGTTCACTCTTCTGTATTGGAGGTCTCTAAGCAAGGACATACAGGCTTCTCAGTGCTGCACTGATGCTTGGGAACAAAGACACATCACCTGAGTGGGATTTCTGCTGGTGTAGCAGCTGACTTCTGTGCTTCAAATGAGGTAGCAAACCGTAAGGAGAAATCACTAGTTAAGCCTAGATACAGTAATCCTTGGGTTGTACAAAAAGAAGTTAACTTCTGTTAAAACTACAGCTTCCTTTCTCTAAGGTAACAAGCCCATATTAAGATGACTTTTCTCCAGACTAGGTCAGGCCCTAAGAAAGAAGTAAAGAACTATCTTAGCTCACTGACACTGCAAGGGGGAAAGACAAAAGTGATGTAAAATTGGAGCTGGAACATGGGGGGACAGAAGACCTGAAAGCCTAGACCTTATGTTTGAACAAGACACTGATACCTCTTGATATTTGAAGCTGCTAATTTGATACACAGGTATAAAAAAAAAAGAAAAAAAAATTTTGGACACCTATCAAGAAAGAAAAAAAAAAAGCACAGGTTCTCAAACAGTATTTACATATTGCAGAATATACAGTCTCTTAGATAACTTGCCCCTGGCTAAATCATGTTGGAGTTTTGCAGAAAGCCAGCATTTCCATGATTTAATAAGCTCCCCATGGGAGAGGTGGTCTAGCACTACACTCTCAAAATCATTGTATTTTGTCATTGGTGTGCAAGCATAGAATGGAATCTAGAAAGCAACTGATGTGTTGGTTACCCTGATAATCTTCTTGTTAAAAGATTACAGTCTTCTGAGGAAAATTAAGGGTTGCAGGCCATTGACACAGTCTGCTAGGATTAATTTTGAGATTTTTGAATACTGTGGTGCAAGCTGGGTAATGACACACTTACATGCTGCATGTGAAATGAAGAAAAAAACAAGACAACCTCCCCCCACCCCTCCACATTTTACAGCAAAGTGAATTTCCCCCTTTCTTTTAGGGGAATGTATTTTAGGCTGAAAAAGAAATTACAGAGGGAAATTAAAGTTTCCCAGTGACCAGCAGTTATTTTGACCAAATTTATTTGATAATTCCAGAACTCCACAATTTTGTTCACAGGCAAATGAGTTTCTGCAAGGTTTGCTGTTGAGGTAGTGGGTGATGTTCTGGCTCCAGCAGCCTTGCCCTGCTTGTGCCAGAGCCAGACTGTCACCCAGGCTCACTTCAGCCTTCCTGGGGGCAGAGGGGAGAAGTCAAAAAGGGACAGGCACTCCCAGGGGTCCTGGGAGCTACCCTGCATGCTCATCATGACATGAAACTGCACCAAGCAAAAAGTGGGAAAGCACAGCAATCTAAAGACACCTTTATGTTCAGTACATACATGTTCTGTTGGAATGATGAATGTGGAGATGGTGCTGGGACTATCCTTAGGATGCCTCCACGGAGCAACAAAAGAGCCCCTCGGTGCTATCAGTTTATATAATACTTTCCATACCTCTGATTTAATGTCTGAACTAAGAAAGTGGCTGTAGCTCTTGGAAGACATTAGTAATGTTCATTTATGCTGCTTTTTTCATTTGAGCAGCACTTAAAGTTTTCATTCACTGCTTATGTTCTCAGATGACCCTAGGGCCATCAACGTCTACAGATCAAATACAGAAAAATGAGCCATCTTTCCTGTCAACTGATACATAGTAATTTCAAAAGTATTTATCCTTTGTGTGAGCCATAAAAAAGAAGTCAAAGCTAAAAGAAGTCAAGCACTGCCAAAGACCTCACTGAAGAAACAGAGGACTCTGTTATTCAGTGTGACACTGATCCTGATGAAAGAATTTGAACAGCCCAGCTGTGCAGCACTTGGTGTGTGCAGGGTGGGGAAGAGCTGGTTATATGGCTTTTGTACAACAGATGAGTTGCACTTGGTGGGCTGAGATCGACTCATTAAGGGTACGAGAATGAAACTTTAAAGAAACTAATCAAAAGAGAAGTTACTGAGTTCTTAGGCTTTAATCCTTTTTCAAATGGGCTACTTGCCTTAACTCCATGGGTGACATTTTCATGTCAGTGCTGTAAAACAATTCTGTAATATCCATGAGTTTGGGACTGACAAAGGAGTATTTTCAGGCCCTACAGCTTAGCACTGCTGCAGGGATTGTGATACTTGCTGTGTATTAAATCACTGAATAACAAGCTTGTAGATTTATGAGTACCTCCTAAGTGAACATTTAGTGTCCAAATCTCACCTAATGTAGTGATTGTTTTAACTTCCTTCCAACAGATTTCAAATAGACAATACAAATAAATAAATCTGTCTTCAAAAAAGAATGGGATGGGTATTACTATTTTTTCAATGAGTAGCATATTTTGCTATATATTTGGAAGGGTAAGAACAAAACCTAATTGAAAACTTTCCTTTTCTACCCAGTGGGAGAGGAAAGAGTACAGTTATCTCATACAGACGGACCTGACAGTCTCTCTAACCTTAATCTGTCTGGGTTTGCTGTTACATTGCTTTACTGCACATATTTCAGATGTTACAAGGTACAAACAAGCAGAAGAGGTAAGGCCATGACAAGTGGAGCAAAGAAGACTATTTTTTGTTTTGCAAATTTCCTTCTTTTCATCTGGAACAGATTTTGTCAAGAAATCTGAGTCATATTTTAAAGAAATCTGTTTGCAAAAAATGAGGAGCTGTGCAGAGACTGTTTATAAGATGTCTGCTTTTGCACCACATGCTTGCTCTAGCTAGATACCAAAATACTAGAGCCAAAAATTGTCTGAATACCTCATTGTTTGTTCTTTCTCAGACTGGCACTGGCAAGCAGATGAAAAGTCTTTCCAAGTGGAAGCAGAGAGGGTGTTAACTGACAGCCAGTCTTGGCACCAACTTTTGGTGTGTATAATCAGAAAGGTTTCTAGAGCTGCTTGATTCTTACAAAGCAATAACACACAGACTGTTTTCCTCTTTCAGCTTCTAATTATAACAGCCATTGACATTCAAGTTTGTTCAAGTTCCTTGCAAGTGCCAACAAATTAATTAAAACTTCACAGGAATGTGACAGTCTCAGGAAAAAAGAAAGTAGGGCTGAAACTTCTCTTGCTATTTTAGATAAAGTACATTTTAGAGGAAACAGAAAGCCTTTGGTCTTCTTTCCTATGAACTCATTAAGTGCTTTTAAGGTACAGATTTGATACTACTGCTTTGGTCTTTGATTTACCTTTTATAAGTCTAGCTTTATGCAAAGAGTATATTAATATTGCCATGAAAATGATGAATACCTGAATCACAATCTCTTCCATTGATTAAGGTAAGGATTGTTCAGCTGGCCAGAGAAATTCTACATCCCATGATCACAGTCCTCTAAAGATGTAGATGTATACATGTGGAAGATTATGAAGGGAGATAACAGAAGCAGTCACAGCACTGTGCCCCAGCCCGATTTCTACTGATACACTTGTTACCTCTTGCTGTACATTAATCCCATAAAATGTGGGCAGCAGCATCAAAGCATCTAAAATAATCTTATGATATGTAATAATGAGCACTTCATACTCTTCCACATTCTTGTCCTCGTTGTGCATGCATATAATGGCTTGTACATTGAATTATACGCTGGACAGCCATAGTTCTAAGACATGATGGTTTCTCATTTTAATGGCTAGTCCAGGGATTGTTCCAACCGCTGTGAACTCCCTTAATAATGCTACTTATCATAGGAGTTAAATCTAAGTTCAATATTTTAATTTCCTGTAAAGTGAGACTAATTCAAATCTGATCTAACTTGTGTATTCCTCACCTCTCCCCAGGCAGCAGGTGGAGGCTCCACAGGAGGGTAGTATTTGGGGACATCCCAAGCCACTGCAGCCATGAACCACTTGAAATCTTTACATTTAAGATGCTTGCGAAGCTCCTTCTGGGCAGAGATATCACCAGTTGAGAGATGTCTGTACTCAGGCCGTCGCTGGTAAATGTACTCTGCAAATTCATCCATCCAGGTCTCTGCCACGCGCTTCAGGTTCTGTGCAGCAGAAAAAAAGAAATCATTAATATCCTCGTGCTTTGAATGCACTGTATTCCTAATGGAGAATTAAACCAAAATAATTTAGCAGTCCACACAACTTTTAAGCTTGGCTGTTCTTATTTCTCAGTCTTAGAAAATGTAAAAATACCAATAAACATATGCTATCTTTGTGACAGTGTTGAGCAAACACTACAAAGTATTAAGTACCCTGTTTTCCTGCTG